TTTTTTTTTTCCTTGAACCAAGAGGCCAGTGTTATTACTAGAGCTATAGAGTTTGTCTTGATTCTCATTCTTCTAAATTCTCTAGGTTCTTGGTCTTATTTATTTATTTGTTTTAGACCAGTCAAGTACAGTAGTGAGAAGGGGGTATTGTCGGTCTTTTCCTCCTATGTGAATTTTATCAAATGTATGTATTTGGGTAGCCATCCCTACAATCAAAAGACGAAACAGTTTCATCACCCAAAGCACAGGCAACAAAAACAAAAATACACAAGTGGGACTGTATCAAACTAAAAAGCTTTTGCACAGCAAAGAAAACAACCAACAGAGTGAAAAGGCTATCTGGAATGGGAGAAAATATTTGCAAACTATATATCTGAAAAAAATTTTAATCTCTAAATTATGTAAGGAAGTCCTACAACTCAATAGTAAATCAAATAAACAAAAAGATTCTAGTGACTTGATTTAAAAAGTGGGCTAAGGACTTGAATAGACATTTTTCCAAATAAGATATACAAATAGTCAGTAGGTATAGGAAAAATCCTCAACATCACTATTCATCAGAGAAATGCAAATTAAAACCAAAATGAGATATCATTTCACATCTGTCAGGATAGCTATTATAAAAAAAAACAACAACAGACGGCAACAAGTGTTGACAAGGATATGGAGCAATCGGAAACTCTTGGTGGGTATGCAAAATGGTGCAGTCACTATGAAAAACAGTATTGAGGTTGCTCAAAAAATTTAAAATAAAACTATCATATGATCTAGCAATCTCACTTCAGAGTATTTATCCAAAAGAATTTAAATCAGGATAATGAAGAGATATTAGTACTCCCACGTTCCTTGTGGCACTGTTTACAATAGCCAAGATATAAATCTAATTTAAATGGCCATAACAGATGAATGGATAATGTAAATGTGGTATGTACATGGAATACTATTCAGTCTTTCAAAAGAAAGAAATTCTGCAATATGTAACAACCTTCATTAAGCTGAGAGAAATAAGCCAGTCACAGAAAGACAATTACTGAATGATTTCACTTATACAACGTATCTAAAATAGTCACATTCATAGAATCAAAGAATAGAATGGCGATTTCTAGGGACTGAGCAGGTAGGGAAGTGGGGAGTTGCTAAGCAATAGGCTTATAAAGTTCAGGCAAACACAATGAACAAGCTGTAGAGACCTGCTGTACGACACTGGCCCTACAGTCGATGACTGTACAAGAACTTGTTAGGAGACTAGATCTCATGTTAAGTGTTCTTACTACAATAAATGCAATATTTTTTTTAAAAGATGATTGCCTATTTATATAGAACATGCATGAAAATTTCCAGACCAGCTAATAAAACTAGCAGGAAGTCAGACAAGCTACTAGATGAAACAGTGATATATAAAAATCAGTAGTGATTCTACATGACATTAATAACCAATTAATATACTTAATAGAAAAATATATAGTATTCAAAATACTTCAGCAAACTATTATACACTTGACGTGTGAATAATGCAGAGTTTAGGGGCTTGAGGGGAAAATACACGTTCCTGACCAGTGTATGAAATACTGTGCTAACCTGGAGTGCTCAGCAAAATTGTTACAAGTAGACTGGGCAGGAACCAAGATAACTGCTGGGTGGGGAGGTTGGGGAAGAAAGAGCACTTTCTTGGGTGCCTCAGCACTTTCTTTCCCTGATACAGCCAGCTCAAACTGACCCTGACTGGTTTAGAGCTGATTTGATTGTCCTATATTGCCTTTTAGCTGATTATAATACTAAAACCCCTACCTAATGGAAAATTCTCACATCATTAACATAACATGGGTTGCATGATACAGTCTGATGACAGTACTGTACCTACATTTGTGTCACTATGAACAAGCAAAGATACATCCTAAAATCTTTGCAAGTAAAGAGATGTAAAGCAATCACAGGGTGGGCAGAGGCAGAATTTGCTAGAAGCTGTTCCTGTGGAAGACATCCCTGTGCCACCCTGGATCAAGTGCCCCTGTAAGTAACCTCTAATAAACTCATCTAATGCGTCAAGTTGGACCTGTCAGATCATTCTTTGATCTCTCAGTCTGGGGTGTGGGGTGAGGAGACAGGGGAGGGCTGGATCTGAGCAGCGGCTTGGGGTGGGGGATGAGAGCTGGGTTCTGTCCAAGCGCTGTTAGAGCAGGAAACTGCAGTGGCTCTTGGGAAAGAACATTTCTGTTGAGAGGTTTCTGATTACTGATTCAATCTCTGCACTAGTTATAGGTCTGGTCAGATTTTATGTCCTCATGCTTAGCGTGGTAGGTTATAAGCTTCTGGGGATTTATCCATCTCTTCTAGGTATTCCACTTGTTGATGAATGATTATTCATAGTAGTCTATTGTGACATTTTATTTTCGGGGCTCAATTGTGTAGTATCTGTTCTTTAATTTCTGGTTTTATTTATCTGAGTTTTGTATTTTTCTTAGTCTATCTAAGACCTTGCCAATTTTGTTTATTTTCAATGAACCCACTTAGTTTTGTTAACTTTATAAAAACTTTTTTTTTCTATTTTATATGCCATTTATTTCTGCTCTAATCTTTGTTGTTTTCTCCTTGCTACTAGCTGTATTTGTTTTTTGGTCCTTGTGGTAGGAAATTAGGTTGGTTGTTTGAGATTTTTCTTCTTCTTTTTTTAACTATAGGTGTAGGTGTTTATTGGCATGAACTTCCCTTGTAGTATTGCTTTTTCTGCATTCCATGAGTTTTAGTAACTTGTGTTTTTGTCTCAGATATTTATAATTTTTTTTGTTTCTTTTTGACCCAGTGGTTGTTTCAGAGTGTAGTGTTGTCATTTTTACATGTTTGTAAAATTTCCAATTTTCCTTCTGTTGATTTCTACTTTCATTCCATTGTGGTCATGAAAGGTACTTGGCATTATTTCAGTCTTCCTAAATTTATTAGGACTTGTTTTGTGACCCAACATGTAATCCATCCTAGAGAAAGATCTGTGTGTGCTTGAGAAGAATGTGTATTCTTCTGCTGTTGGGTGGAATGCTCTGTGTGTGTTTATTAAGTCCATTTAGTCTATACTCTTCTTCAAATCCTCTTTTTCCTTATTGATCTTCTGTTTAGACATTCTACCCATTATTGAAGGTAGGGTATTGTAGTCTTCTACTATTATTGTATTGCTGTTTCTCCCTTCAATTCAGTCAATGTTTGCTTGATGTATTTAAGGGCTCTGGTGTTAGATATGTATATATTTATCATCATTATATCTTCCTGGTGGACTGACCCTTTTTATCATTATGACGTATCCTTCTTTGTCTCTTGTGACAATTTTTGGCTTAAAAAACTAAGTATAACCAACCCCTACTCTGTTTTGTTATCATTTGAATGAAATATCTTTTCCATCCCTTTACTTTCAGCCTGTGTGTATCCATAAACCTAGAGTGAGTTTCTTATAGACAGCATATAGTTGGGGCTTTTTTTTTTTTTATCCATTTGGCCCCTCCAAGTCTTTTGATTGGAGGGTTTAATCCATTTACATTACAGTATTTACTGATAAGAAGGATTTTGATGTCATTGACTGATGTCATTTTGCTAGTTGTTTTCTGTTAGTCTTGTACTTCTTTTCTCTGTCTTTTTATCGCTTGCTGTCTTCCTTTGTGTTTTGTTGATAGTTTGTATTCACTTGTTTTGGTTTTTGTTTGTTTGTTTTGTTTTGAGACAGTGTCTCATTCTGTCACCCTGGGTAAAGTGCTATGTGGTCACATCTGATAGCAACCTCAAGCTCCTGGGTTTGAGCAGTCCTCTTGCCATAGCGTCCTGAGTAGCTGGACTACAGGTGCCTGCCATAACAACCACCTTGTTTTTCTATTTTTAGTAGAGATAGGGTCTTGCTCTTGCTTAGCCTAGTCTTGAACTCCTGAGCTCAGGTGATCCATCCACCTCAACCTCCCAGATTGCTAAGATTACAGGCGTGAGCCACCATGCTCAGTGATAGTTTGTATTGAAATGCTTTGATTCCTTTTGATTTTTTTTTAACTTCTATAAGGTTTCTTTGTGGGATTATTTTGGGGCTTATAGTTATAAAAGTGTATTTTAAGCTGATAGCAATTTCAGTAACATATAAAAACTCCACACTTCAATCTCCGCCTCCCCATACTCCTTTTATGTCATGGTTATGATCATTTACATCTATTCATATTGTGTATTTTAAATAATATTTTATAGCTATTTTTAATACTTTTGACTTTATATTAGAATTAAAAGTTATTTACCAACTGCCATTGCAATAATAATGATCAATGCAGGAATCCGATTTGATGCTGACTCCTAGGGGCAACTGAGAATTGATACTCTATGCTTATATTCTTACAGTATGAGTCTTCATGCCTCCCTGTCTACTTCTGAAGCATTTAATGTAGCTTAGAGAACAATGACCTCAGGACATAGAGTGATCCAGAAGTAAAGAAATACTTCAAATTAATTTACAGAGTATTCTAGGGACTAAAGATGTGACTGCCCCAGTGCAGGATCTTCTATGAAAAACTGCCCCAGTGCACATAGTGTTGGTGATACTGAAAATGATGAGGTAAATCTCTGTGTTTTGAACAGATTTCCAAAACCCAGCTCCTAGCTTAATCCAACTAAGTCCCAGTGTCATTAAAATTCTTGTATATTTTATGATAATGAGCTTTTACTTACATAGTTGCTCTTTTTGAAGTTTTTAATTGACATATGATTAGTGTACATACTTATGGTGCACGTGTGATATTTTCATAATATATACAATATGGAATGATTAAATCAGAGTAATTAATATATCCATGACCTCAAACATTGATCATTTCTTTGTGTTGGAGATATTCAAAATCTTCTACCTATTTTGAAATATTCAACCAGTCATTGTTAATTATAGTCACCTACTTTGCTATAGAACATTAGAACTCATTCCTCCTATGTAAATGTACTTTTGTACCCTGTTATCAACCTCTCCTTACTTTTCCTTCCTTCTACTTCTCCCAGTCTCTGATACCCACTATTCTATTCTTTATTTCTATGAGATCAACTATTTAGATGTTACATGAGTGAAAACATGCAGTATTTGTTTTCCTACGTCTAGCTTATTTCATTTAACATAATGTCCTCCAGACTCATCTGTGTTGCTGCTGCAAACTACAGAAATCCACTTTTTTTATGACTGAATAATACTCTATTATACCACATTTTTAATGTCTGTTCATCTATTGATAGATAAGTAGATTGATTCAATATTGGCTGTTGTGAATAGTGGATAAACATGGGAGTACAGATAATCTCTTCAACATACTATTTTCTTTTTGTTTGACTATCTACCTAGTGGTGGAATTGCTATGGTATTTTTATTTTTAGTTTTTTGAGGAACCTCCGTAGTGTTTTCTATAATGGCTAGGTTACTTTACATTCCCACCAACACTGTATAAGAGTTTCCCTTTCTTATCTTCACCAGCATTTGTTTTTGATGATAGTCATTTTAACTGGGGTGAGATAATATCATATTGTGGTTTTGATTTACATTGCTCTGATGATTAGTGATGTTGAGTATTTTTTTCATGTACCTGTTCACCATTTGTATGTCTCTCTTGAGAAATATCTGCTCAGATCCTTTGCCTACTTTTAATGGGATTATTTGGGGGTTTTTTGCTATTGAGTTATCTTTCTTTCTTTCTTTCTTTCTTTTTTTTTTTGTGAGACAGAATCTTACTCTGTTACCCTGGGTAAACGCCGTGGCATCATAGATCACAGCAACCTCAAACTCTTGGGCTCAAGTGCCTCAACCTCCCAAGTAGCTGGGACTATAGGCACCTGCCACGATGTCTGGTAGTTTTTCTATTTTTAGTAGAGATGGGGTCTTGATCTTGCTTAGGGTGGTCTTGAACTCCTGAACTCAAGTAGTCCACCCACGTTGGCCTTCCAGAAGAGTAGGATTACAGGCACAAGTCACTATGCCTGACCGATTTGTGTTTCTTGTATTTTCTGGATATTAATCCCTTGTCAGATAGATAGTTTTTGAATATTTTCTCCTATTCTGTAGGTTGTCTTTTTACTCTGTTATTTCCTTTCCTGTGCAGAAGCTTTTTACTTTGATACGATCCCATTTACCTATGTTTGCTTTTGTTGCCAGTGCTTTTAAGATTTTCCCAGACCAATGTCCTGAAGCATTTCCTCCATTTTCCTCTAGTGGTTTCATAGATTTGGGTCTTCTATGTAAGTCTTTAATTCATTTTAAGTTGATATTTTTATGTGGTGGAGGATAGGGATCCAGTTTTATTCTTCTGCATATGTACATCTAGTTTTTCTAGCACCATTTATTAAAGAAACTGACTTTTCTCCATTGTGTCAAAAATTAGTTTGCTGTAAATGCATGGATTTATTTCTGAGTTCTTTATTCTGTTCCATTGGTCTATGTGTTGGTTTTTATGTCAATACCATGCTGTTTTGCTACTGTAACTTTGTAGTATATTTTGAAGTTGGATAGTTGTTCTTTTTATATAATGATAAGTTTGTCTCTAACTTTTGTTCATTAGGGATGGAGCCTATAGAGGTGCCTCTTGAAGAAAACAGTGAACAGGCTCGAATTTGCCAAAGCAAGGTCTGTGCTGACAGGTGAGACTCTGAAGCAGGTGAAAATCCATCAGCAGGATGGCATTGTGGGAAGACAGCAGTGCCTTGTGGGATCTGACCTATGCTATACAGTCTGTATCACTTTCCCCCTTGCACGTTCCACTCTTAGCACACTGGCTCCTTGCTATTCCTCAAAACTACCAAGCATGTTCCCTTCTTAAAGTCTCTGTATGTACTGTTCCTTCTGCCTGCAATGCTCTTCCCCTAGGCATACCTCTACAAGGCTCAGTCCCTCACCTCCATCAGTCTTACCTCTACTGGGTCTCTGCTTGAAAGTCCCCTTCTCTGAGAGCCACCTGACTACCCACAAAAATCAATGCCCCCCATTGCCATTTGACCTGTTGTACTTGTCTCCTTCACCTTTGTTCAAAACATGTTATATGTTTGTTTATTCATCTTAAGTCCCTCCCAGTAAAATGCCTGTACTGTTCACTAAAAAGCCTAGAACATTTCTGGGTGCAGAGCATGAGGTGGAGCAGTGAGAACAGTTTGGATGCTTCTGCAGCAGTCCAAAGGAGGTCTGATGGTGAAAAGACTGGCTGGTGGTTGTAGAACAGTTGGAAGAGGGTAAGAGACAAGTGGGAAGGCCAGCTGAGCACCTGTGTTAGCAACATAGGTGAAACGTATGGAGGCTTGGACCGAGATCAGGGAGAAAATCAGGTAGGGGACAGGTATATATTCTGGAATAGAATCACTTGAACTTGCCAATGAATTGGATGAGGAAGCTGAGGGTGAAGGGGCTTACCAAGATGTCCCTCGAGTTTCCAAAGTATAGTTTATATAATCTGGGTTGTTGATAAAAAATCATCTGCTGAATTCTAGGAAATGTAAATTAGGGATGAATGTAATAGCATTCCTATTTTATTTCCTTTTAAAAATTTTTTAATTAATTAATTTTTGTGGGGACAGTCTCACTTTGTTGCCCTTGGTAGAGTGCCCTGGTGTCACAGCTCACAGCAACCTCAAACTCTTGGATTTAAGCGATTCTCTTGCCTCAGCCTCCCAAGTAGCTGGGACTACAGGTGCTGGCTACAATGCCCAGCTATTTTTAGAGACCATGTCTCACTCTGGCTCAGGTTGGTCTCAAACTTGTGAGCTCAGGCAATCTACCCACCTCGGCCTCCCAGAGTGCTAGGATTATAAGCATGAGCCACCTTACCTGGCCCCTATTTTATTTCTTGATTGAATGTATTTATAAATTCATTTGCTGAATAAATCAGATATCTGCATCACGTGTTGTCTAGTTTGATCTGTGCCAGAAAACATGTAGAATAACAGATTTTCTGATCATGGGAAATTTGTCCTATCTTAAGCCTCAGCCAATTTTCCTGCCAAACACTAAAATAGTTAAATATATAACAGATCACTAAAGATTCACATACGGGGTCTGACAATTAAGTTCTAGAACTTGCCACTGTGCACTTATGTTGGCAGCACCGTAAAAAAAAACAACTCAGTAAGGGCTCATAACTTAGTACATCAGCGTCTCACAGCTGTCTTCTTGTCAGTGTGTGGTGATGTCTTATTCAGTGATGTTTATTATTGTTGTTGTATGTTACATGTGCCGTTGTGGGAATGTTGGAGCTTGAATTAGAGCAATGAACAAACATTTGCAAATTTCTTGTTAAATTTGGCAAGAGTAGAAGTGAAATCAGAAACCCATTAGCCCAAGTTTATGGGGTGATGCCATGAAGAAAAGGGCAGTGTACAAATGGATTAAAAGATTTTTTGAGGGGGACAGAAAGCATCATTGATGAGATGTCAGAGTGGCCAGCAACTAGAAGAACTGATGGAACCATTGCAAAGATTTGTTGAAGTGCGTGTCAAAATCATCTGCTGACTATGAGAAGCATAGCAGAGCAAGTAAATATTAATAGGGAAACTGGAAAACCTGAACGGAAATTCTTGGTGTGAGAAAGATGGGTGCAAAAATGGTCCTGGAGGTGCTCATTGTGAGCAAAAGCAAAAGAGAGTTGGAGTTTGCCAAGACCTTTTGGAGAGGGGAGATGACATTTGGGGCTGTGTTGAAAGACTTCATCACTGGTGTTGAAAAATGGATGTGCCAATACGACCCTAAAACAAAGCGTCTAAGTGCCCAGTGGAATCAGCCAATTCTCCACAACCAACCAAATTCCTGCCAGTCCAAATCAAGAGTCAAAACTAAACTTTTTTAGTTGCTGAACTTTTTTGATCTAAGAGGGGATTATTCATTTTGAATTGGTGCCAACTGGACAAACAGTTAATTAAGTTTGTAGGTGGAATGCTAAAAAGGCTGTGTGAAAAAGTTAGACAAAAACAACCTGAACTTTTCCCCACAACTCATGGCTCTTCCATTATGACAATGCACAGCTCACACAGCACTGTGTGAAGGAGTTTTCAGCCAGGAAACAAGCTACTCACCTAATATGCCCACAATGACTTTTTTCTTTATTGGAAGATAAAGGAAATATTGAAAGAAAGACATTTTGATGACATTCAGGACATCAAGGGTAATATGACAAGAGTTCTGATGGCTGTTCCAAAAAAAGAGTTCCTAAATTATTTTAAAGGGTGGACTAGGGAGGGCTGGAATCAGTGCATAGTTTCCCAAGGGAAGTACTTCAAAGGTGACTGTAGTGATTATTCAGTGATGCAGTATTTAGCACTTTTTCTAAGATTGGTTTGTGAACTTAATTGTCAGACCACATATGATAAAAAGCTTTTATAATGCTGATTGCCTAGTAGTTAACACAGTGAACTTAGTAGTGGGTAGGCTTGTGTTCAGAAGGTACTGTATGGTGTGAAGTCAGACGACATTGTCTTTGTGCCCTATGAACATATTCTGTCATTCAGGTCATGAAATGATAGGATACATCCAAATGGGATCCAAGTCATTAGTGCTCCTGGGAGCCAGGCAGAGGATCACTCTGGCACCATGAAAGTCTACACCCCAGGAAAACAGTATCAAGGTGATGCTACCATGACTGTGCTCAGTACACTGAACATCACAGATACTGGGCCACCCCATCCTGGAGGCCAGAGAATTGGGCACAGTCTACATCTTCTTGCCAGTGCTTGTAGACATTTAACTGTTTTTTATTTTTTGCCAGTTTAAACATTCATTATAGCACATTCTCAATTAAGGCAGTGCATTTTGGGTAAGCAAATTTCTAGAGGATTCCAGAGTTTTTAAACACTGGATCAGGCCGGGCACAGTGACTCACGCCTATACTCCTAGTACAGTGGGAGGCCGAGATTGCTTGAGCTCAGGTTCGAGACCAGCCTGAGCAAGAGCCAGATCTCGTCTCTACTAAAAATAGAAGAACTAGCTAGGCGTTGTGGCAGCCACCTGTAGTCCCAGCTACTCAGGAGGCTGAGGCAAGAGGATGGCTCAAGCCTAAGAGTTTGAGGTTACTGTGAGCTATGATACCATGACACTCTACCTAGGGTACAGTGTGAGACTCTGTCTCAAAAAAACAAACAAAAAACGCTAGATCAATAAATGCAGTACATGGATCTGTAACTTCTAGGTATAGAGTCTGTTTTACATGTGATCTGGCTGCGAGAGAAAATATCTCAGTCAGGCCCATAATGAAAAACCAGGGCACCATTCCAGAGTCGAGGGCTTCTTAAAGCAAAATGCCACTCTGGAAGGTCTCAAATTCTGAGCTGTATGGTTGTTGATGCCAATAACTGATATAAAAAAAATCTTTCAGAAGACACCTCTAAAGCTTTTTTCATATTTGATGTCGGGTTTTCCTATGACTTGGAGGTCTCTGTGTGGCTCCCTAAGCACACCACAACGTCAGGCTACCTCCCCCCTCGGGCTCATGCAATGTTCTGTTTTATTTTATTTGCAGTGTAGATTCTTTTTTAAAGATATACTATCTAACAATTCACTCACCTACTGCTTTCTTTCTTTCTTTTTTTTTTTTTTTTGCCAGGGTAGATACTTATGATTGTGGAGAAAAAATTTCGAGCTGGTTGTCAAAGTTTTTCGGCCGTCCGTGTCACTTGATCAAACAAAGTTCAAACTCTCAAAGAAGTGCAAAGAAGAAACATGGAAAAGGTATTACATTTTGGATTGGTTCTTAGAGGATAGGAACACTGGCTTAACTTTGAACATGCCAGAAATAATCCATGGTCCAGGCATGGTGGCTCGTGCCTGTAATCTTAGCACTTTGGCAGGCCCAGGCAGGAGGATCTTTTGAGGTCAGGAGTTTAAGTTGAGCCCAAGCAAGAGCGAGACTCTATTTCTACTAAAAAGAAAAAAAAAAGGCCAGAAAAAGTTAACTGAGTGTTGTGGCAGGTGTCTATAGTCCTAGCAACTTGGTAGGCTGAGGCAGAAGGATTGCTTGAATCTAGGAGTCTGAGGTGGTTGTGAGCTAGGCCGACACCATGGCATTCTAGCCTTGGCAACAGAGTGAGACTCTGTCTCAAACAAACAAAAATAGCCCATGAGGCAGTATCCATAGCTCAGTGGTAGGGCGCTGGCCACATACGTGGATGGAGGCTGGTGGTTCGAACCTGGCCTGGGCCTGTTAAACAACAATGACAACTGAAACAACAATAAAAAAAAATAGCCGGGCATTGTGGCGGGTGCCTGTAGTCCCAGCTACCTGGAAGGCTTAGGCAAAGCCCAAGAGTTTGAGGTTGCTGTAAGCTGTGATGCCACACCCAGGGAG